ACTAAAAATACAAAAAAAAAAAAAAAAAAAAAAAAGGCCGGGCATGGTGGTGTGCGCCTATAATCCCAGCTACTCAGGAGGCCAAGGCATGAGAGTAGGTTGAATCTGGGAGGCAGAGATTACAGTGATCACGCCACTGCACTCCCACCTGGGTGATAGAGAGACTGTCTTAAAAAAGAAGTGGTAACTGTTACTAAGTAGAACTAAGTTATATTGGCTTCCAGGGGAGCTCCTTGCTTTGTTCATGCTGCCCTGTCCCCAGCATGCTGCTTTCTTGCATGAACACACATACACACACACACACACACACACACCCATAGTCCCCACACACGCCATTCCCCTTCATTCCCCCTCAAAAAAACTTTGAGCTGATGGAATCTCTCTCTCTCTCTCTCTGTCTCTCTCTCCCCTCTCTCTGCTTCACTCTGGCTCTTTCTGTCCCCACCTCTCTGTCTCCCTCGCATGTGTTTCGAGCCCCAGAAGGCAAGCCTCTTTAGAGAATGGCTTAGCCTCTGTTGATTAAACCCGGGGCATCCATCCTGTTACCTGGGCATCTGCAAGGCTGTCTGATGGAAATGTGTTTTCTCTACCTTCTCCGGCCGTCGTTCCCTGGACCTGTTTCTCCTGAGGAAAACAAACGGTCATTCCCGGTGGTCCTTGGGTATTTCTAGAGTCCTTGGCCGAATGCCATTCCCCCAAAACCATCTCAAGCTCTACAAGTGTTAATTCACGGCCTGGGACGTGTGAGAACCCCCTGGTAGAGGGCAGCTCAGAGAACATGGCTGTTACTATTTCGTTTCAGCCAACGCTTGCCATATGGGAAGAGGGACCCGACACCACCAGATGTTCCAAATTTCCAAGAGAAGGCAGAAATCTGGATATTTTTAAAAGCAAAATCCCTCAGCTTTTAAATGTTAAAACCAATTCAAATGAAAAAAAAGTGCTGTGTGGGCCAAATAAAACCTGTCTGTGGGTCGGAGCTAGCTGGTTTAGCCAGAGTGGAGCAGCACAGGCATGACAAGGGACGACTAGAGAAAGAGGGGCCCACAATGAGACTGAGAAGGAGCAGCCACAGAGGTGGGGGGGAAGCTTGGGGCAGGCGGTGGTGCCGCCGCCTCCAGGAAGGCCTCCTGACCAGCTTCTACTGACAGAAGGCAAGGGCGGCTCCTGTCTGAAGGACTCCACCTGTGCTTCCCATGGCTTAAACTTTGGGAGACTCACCTGCTTAACTGAGTGGTCGTAAGGATTCCAGGAGAGATTTCCAAGTGCTTGGGCCAGTGCCTAGCGCATAGCAGGTCCTCAAGAAATCAGGACCATGTGTGCTGTGCTATCAGCTGTGCTTCAATGACATATCTGTCCGCCACACATGTATTGAGTGCCTACTATGTCCCAGGCACCGCTGCATGTTCTGGAGACACGGGGACAAGCAAAAAAGACCAAGTCTCTGGGTGGCACAACTGAAACTGCTGGAGTAGGGAAGGTAGGAAATTGGGGAATGAACAGGTGAGTCGCGTCTATACCATCGGGTAAGAGGAAGCAATCCATAGATGTCAGTGGATGTGGTGGGGATGAGGCGGCTGCTATTTACACCATAGGAGATGCTCGGGGAATGTCTCTCTCTCTCTCTCTCCATTTGGGTGATAATTGAACAGAGACAGAAATGAAGGAGTTTTTTCCTTTTGTTTGAGACGAAGTCTCGCTCTGTTGCCCAGCCTGGAGTGCAGTGGCGTGATCTCGGCTCACTGCAACCTCCACCTCCTGGGTTCAAGCGATTCTCCTGCCTCAGCCTCCCGAGTAGCTGGGATTACAGGTACATGTCACCACGCCTGGCTAATTTTTTGTATTTTTAGTACAGATAAGGTTTCACAGTGTTAACCAGGATGGTCTCCATCTCCTGACCTCGCAAACTGCCCGCCTCGGCCTCCCACAGTGCTGGGATTACAGGCGTGAGCCACCGCCCCCCACCTAAAGGAAGGTCTTTAGTTCATGACTGGCATGATGAAGAGCTTAGACTTTGCAGCAAAGCTATCTGGTTTCCAACCTGGCTCCGCTCCTTGTTAGCTCGCTGACCCTAGACAATTTTCTCAACTCTCTGTTGTGTTCACACAGATAGGATGAAAGTAGTAATCTTGCCAGGCACGGTGGCTCACGCCTGTAATCCCAGCACTTTGGGAGGCCAGCCTGATCCTCATGGAGAAACCCCGTCTCTAATAAAAATACAAAAATTAGCCGGGTGTGGTGGTGCATACCTGTAATCCCAGCTACTTGGGAGGCTGAGGCAGGAGAATCACTTGAACCTGGAAGGCAGAGGTTGCGGTGAGCCAAGATCATGCCATTGCGCTCCAGCCTGGGCAACAAGACCGAAACTCCACCTCAAAAAAAAAATAGTAAGTATAACTAATCCCACAGAGTTGTGAAGACTGAGGAAACAAGGGAAATGTTTGCTGAACAAGTGCTTAACATGTGCTCACTAGTTATTACGGTGGCGATGGTTGCTGGTTTTTAAAAATTACTACAGTAACATATCTCCCAAATAGGAGGAAAGCAAAGTAAGTGAATGAATTCACAAGTAAATAAGAAAATGACCAGGAAAGGCATAAATAGATAAAGCTACTCAGCCTTCAGATGTTCAGTCATCCTTATGATCTCCTTCCTCCCTCCCTCCCTCCCCCTTCTGCCTTCTGGCCTTCCTTTTTCCT